CTCTCTCTCTTCTCTCTCTCTCTCTCTCTCTGCCTCTCTTGTCTCTCTCTCTCTCTCTCTCTCGTCTGACTCTCTCTCTCTCTCTCTTCTGCATCTCTCTCTCTCTCCGTCTCCTCTCTCTCTCTCTTCTCATGTGGTGTGTGTGTTAGTGTGTGGTGTGTGTGTTGTTGTGTGTGTGTGTTTGTGTGTGTGTGTGTGTGTGTGTGTTGTGTGTGTGTGTGTGTGTGTGCTGTGTGTGTATATTGTGTCTGCGTGTGTCTGTGCGTAATGTGTGGATATTTCTCTCGCGGGGCTACAAAACACACACCCCCCCCCACACACACACACATACAACACACACACGCGCACGCACGCAACGCACACCATACACAACACACACACACACACGCGCACGCACGCACGCACAGCACGCGACGCACGCACACACACGCCACACATACACACAGCACATCACACACACACACACACCACACACAACACACACACACAATTTTGTTTGACGCTGTCACGGCCACCGCCACTGTACCTGACTGCGCTGCTACTGTACACAACATACTGGTACACCCTTTGGTTCAGCCGCGAAAGGAACATGCATGATTTAGCTATGACTAGAGATTTTATCCGATTGTTAGCTGCGGGAAAGTTAATATGAAAGTAAATTCATCACTGCTGCTATAAGGAAACAATTATCAACGGGCAGCTATGACTGTACACAACAATCGCTGCCATGAGTGTGAAACTATATAAAACTCATATATGTAAACATTACCTGATGTATGGTCAGTGGTACCATCTTTTAATGCACAAAAACATCGCTTTGTCATGTAATTACCAGTGGTGTATTTCAGTGGATAAATCAATATACAAGTTCATCTTTCGAAGTTAGTATTATATATGCGCTATAACAAAAATAATCAATCCTGGAATATAGAAGCCAGATTAATTCATTGGCTCTAGGTTTGTATATAAATCATGTATGTCAAGACTATGGCATGTTTAACATAAATATACTCCCACCGTCATAAATTTATTCGTTTCAAAATTTTGGAATGGCAATTAGATACGCAGTAGGAAATTGACAATGCGAAGCGCATTCCCTTCAGTAAACATTATGCGCAGGATAAAAAAAAATATACATCACGAATATACACGATCTGGTATGACCGGATAGGATATTAAATATTCCTCCTCCGCGAAATTGAACATTCCGCATCGTCTCTTGATGCTTTTGACGCGTGAGACATCTAAAGCTGCTGAATTACTGCGAGTTTCTTTTTCGGCTAGACCGCAGAAATTGCCCCTGCCGGACGTTACAGCATCCAGGTGGTTTCGATCGCGCGAACTGTTTTTCTTCGATGTTGCATGTTCCGGACGTGGGAGGGTCCAAGGAACGTGCAAGCTGATCTTCGCTTTGGTCCGCGTGTCTGATTTAGATTTCGTATATTTGTGTAATTCTAATGCGCGATGAGGTGGACCAGAAATAATCGAATATGATATATATATATATTATATATATACATATATATATAAGTATATTCAAGAGTACATAATAGAGTACATAATATATGTGTGGAAATGGGAGCAGAGCGCAAATTGCTTTTATTAATCATCAAAAATAGTCTTTCTTAATATTTAAACAGTAATTTAATTAAATATTAATTTTGATCGAATTAAATCCGAATGCAATCATGCCTTCCTTCTGATCACGTCCTGTTTAACATCACAGTAGAGTACATAAGCGCAGTGATATTTTAATTTTGATGTGTGTCCGCGCACACACCTACCCGCACGCACGCACGTTATACACTTATATGCGCATACGCGCACACACCTACCCACAACGCCGACGACACGGATTATCAACACTTATACGATGTACAGGTAAGCGCACACAAACACCTAGCCGCCGCACGCATGCACGGTGATACACATTAATAAGTGCGCATACGCCAAGCACCATACCCGCACGCAGCGCACAGACACGTGATACACTTAGTATGCGCAATACGACGCACACACAGTACCCGGCACGCAACGCAGCCGACGTGGAGTACACTTATTGCCACATACGCGCACCACCTACCCGCACGCACGCACAGAAGCCACGTGATACGACTTATATGTATAGAATACGCGCACACACCTACCCCCACGCACGCACGTGATACACTTATAGGCGCATACGCCCACACACACGCACGTGATACACTTATATATGCGCATACGCGCACACACCTACCCGCACGCGCGCACGTAAAACACTTATATGCGCGTGCACCGACACACCTACCCCCACGCACGCGTGCACGCCACCGTGAAACACTTATATGGCGTCGCGCACAACCCTACGCCCCACGACACTTTCTACACACCTACGCACGCACGCACGTGATACACTTATATGCGCATACGCCCACACACCTACCCGCACGCACGCACGCACGTGAAACACTTATATGCGCGTACGCCCACACACCTACCCGCACGCACGCACGCGCGCACGTGATATACCTTATATGCGCCGTACGCCCACACACCTATCCGCCGCACGCTACGCACGCGACGCATCGTGATATACCTTATATGCGCGTACGCCCACACACCTATCCGCACGCACGCATGCGCGCACGTGATATACTTATATGCGCATACACGCACACAAGCTTACACGCACGGACACTCACGCTCACTTGCTCTGTGCTGAGTTTATATCTGAACGTGCATTGTATACAACCGTTCACAAATAAAACCCATTATTTCGAGCAAAAATTTAAGTAGAGGTACTCAACAATAGTCCCCGATAACAAGTATTCCGATTAGAAGATATAAGTATTCCGGTAGAAATATACCATTAGATTAAGAGTGCGGAAAACACCGATTATCTCCATTTTGTTATACTGGTAATAGCGAAATACGTATAAAATGTAAGAACGCGGAAATGATGGTCAGATATTCGCGGTTATTTTACTCAAATCTTTATCACAACCGTCAAAACAGCAAAGATGCACGTGTATTCAAAACTGCTATTGCAAACATATATGCTTCTCTTCAATATTATTATATTTATATATAAACCATTATATATATATATATATAATTATTACCGTAGTCTGTGTCATGTAAGACGCACTCCCCTTTCAGCAGAGAATATTTAGGATGTTGTTTAATGTTTACTGAAATGTGTACAGGAGACAAACAGCTTTCCTTTACATGAAGGATCTTTACAGAAACTGAAGAACAGAAGTCTGACAACGTGGAATCAGCACGAATAAAGCTCTTATATATGAATAAAACAACCAACAAACAACGTTGGTGTATTTAAGCATTTAATGTTTACTGAAATGTGCCCAGCAGAAAAACGGCAGCTGTTTTCCTTTACATGGAATGACCTTTCTACACAAAATATACAACTCGGACAACAGAAAAAGGTGTCTTGAGTATTTAGATATATTTCTGGTGGAATGTTCTGGTAGACGCTGGTAGTACTGTAAGCAACGTCTTGAAGAGTCATTAGCCCACAGGATCAACATGATCACAATCACGCATCAACTTCACATATTGACGATTTCGGGTTATTTATTTTGTTTTAAAAATTGCATCTCATATGCCACAATATACGTTATATAGCTCGTGTTCCCCATTTCGTAAACCACATAATATATTAACAAAGGGGCAATTAACCTGAAAGAAATATCGACGTAAATTCTCAGTTAGCCTCTATTAAAACCACCTCCCGCTTGCTGTGCAGGTCTACAACCTAATCGAGTTCGCGTATGGCCATTTTTCACAGGGCGCGTAAACAAATCCCGCGGTGTGACTGGTGGGTGATACAGCGTAGGCCGGCGAGTGTATTCACGGGCCCCGCGTGCGTGGAGGATACACGTATACATCCGTATAAACACCGCGCCTGCCTGCATCAGCAGCCATCGCCGACTCGCTGCAGCGCGCGCGCCTCTAGAGACTCCCCGACTCACCAGGAACGTGTTTTTCGCGCCGATATGACGAGCGGTGAGAACGCCGCCTCCATCTCGCAGCCACACCCAGAGGTGGCGCGGTCCAGCCCCTCCTCGCACTCCGACTGCTTGTGTTCTCACCGCTGCGACGCTGCTGCTGCCGCTGCTGCTGCTGCTGTTGCTGCTGCTGCTGCATCCAGCGATCTGCATGCGCTGTGTTCTCAGTGATATGTCCGCGCGCGCACGCGGGCAGCAGCAGCAGCAGCAGCAGCCTCGCGGCCATTGTCCGGTCAGTCAGCGGGGTGCTTCGCGCCTCTCGCCGGGCGTGCAGGGCGCGGGCGTGTTTACGGTGCTAACCCCTTCCATTATTTTCCACGCCTCTATTGTCGCAGGAATTCCTTTAAACTTAGCGCCGGTGACGGCGAGCTGCTGCCCGCGCCGCCTCACCGCTGCGCTTGTGCGGCGGCCATATAAATTCCATGCGAAGAGAACACCGCGCCCGAGCCGTCGTGGCGGCGCGGAGAACGTTTCGCTGCGTGCCCCAGGGCAAGCAACGGGCCCGAAAAACCCGGATCAAATTGAGCAATTTGGTGTTGATACCCTGCCGAGGCGGTCCGTGTGATCCCCGTTTCAAAGAACGCATCCAAGTACTAAATTAGATGCAGCGACAAAGGGGGTCCGGCTACAAAAGAACGGGTTTATCGAATCGCGCACCCGCGTGACTCAGCCGTCCAATCAGGACCCATCCGTCTGGCGGAAGGTCTTTGATGTTGAATCCAATTATAGCGTGGCATAAAAGAGCCGCTAGGGGACAGGATTCCCGCCCCATGCCTGCCCCCCTAATAATGGCGCATAATCAACGCTATTATGATTGTCAACAAACACTCGCCAGCGAGCATATGGACATAAAAGATTGAATTTCCTTTTAAATAACCCGCCAGCCCACTCTCATTGGTCTGCGGCACTATCAAACAGGCATCTCTCGTTCGATATTGGCTGGCGGCACGTCAAAGAGAGCGAAGCGCCGCATATTTATGTATGAAGTGTGCACCGCCTATTGACATGCCCGGGTAGAAAAAGCAGATAGCGAGGAGGCAACGTCAGTAAAGTCGCAGCGCTTGTGTCGAACGCATCGGTGCAGGAGCATACCCATACAGACAATCGTGAATTTGAATATCTTCGTTGAATATATCGTATACTGAACGTGCATTGGAATAATGGCTACAGCTCTCTTCACGAGATCAACAACGCACCATGGCTTACATATGCTGCCGGTATGTATCTTATCGTATTTATATATTATATGCATGTATATATATATATATATGTATGTGTATGTATATTATTGGAACGTGTTAATTATTATAGCGTATAATTGCAAAATTAATTTAGTAAGTTAAGTTGTAACCTCTACGTCGAATAATAAATTCAGCGCTTGTGATTCAGAATTACGGGCAGTCATAACTTGACAGGTTGTAAAATAGCTCGTCGTAAACCGTAAAAATTCGCAATCGATGAGCACCGATTATCGTGTGTGAGGTTTCTCGCTAGACACGCGATCTGTGAGCTGCACGCGAGTGCGCCTGTATGCATGTAAATGAATGAATCATAGACAGAAGTGTGCAGCTGCTGCTGCTACCGCGTTATACGTCCCCACGTTGCCAACAAGCGCTCATGTTCCCCATCATTTATTGCAGGAGTGCTTCATGCAGGGCAGCGTGCCTCCGTCGCAACCAGAAATGAAGCCGCACAGCCCGCTCGCGATGCTGGCGGCACAGTGTAACCGTGTCGGACACCCGCCGCAGCTCCCGCCGCCGCCGCCGCCGCCCGGCCCCGCCGGCATGTCGATGAGCCTCTCGCACGGACACATCGCTGCGTCGTCGTCGGTAGCGGGAGCGACGATGATCGCGCACAACTACCACCAGTCGAACGCGTCGGTGCTGCATGCCGCTGCCGCCGCGCATCACCACCACCATCACCACCATCACCCGCACCACCCGTGGCAGCAGCCGGCCGAGCTGACGATCAACACGAACGTCGTCACGCACGTGCAGCCGACGTACCGCAACCACGAGCTGCCGATGACGCCTCCCGCCGAGCCGCTCGGCTTCGGCCATCACGCGCCGACCATGGGTCACTCGATGTCCATGCCACCACCGGGGGTCGGCGGTGGCGGCATGCAGCAGCATAGCATCGCGACGCATCATTCAGCGTTCGTGTCGACGCCGATGGCGGCGATGCAGCACGGAGCCGCACAGATGCAGCTCCTGTCGGCGCAGAAGCAGCTCAGCCAGCAGATGTCGCCGAAGAACAGCAACATGGACGCCGATGTGCCCTGGTGGAGTCTGCAGACGCCGCAGAAGCCGGTGACGCCGCCCGCCTACGCCTACCCGCTGTCGCCCGCCCATCAAATGATGCTGAGCACGTCGACCGAGTATCAGAACCAGATCGCCAGCATCCTGTCGCAGAAGCCGCTCGCGACGGCGAGAAGGTGCCGCCGCTGCCGCTGCCCGAACTGTCAGGACTCGAGCAACTCCGGCAATCCGACGAAGCGCAAACAGCACATCTGCCACATGCCTGGCTGTGGCAAAATCTACGGCAAGACGTCGCACCTGAAGGCGCACCTGCGCTGGCACACGGGCGAGCGGCCGTTCGTCTGCAACTGGCTCTTTTGCGGCAAGTCGTTCACGCGCTCCGACGAGCTGCAGCGGCACCTGCGCACGCACACGGGCGAGAAGCGCTTCGCCTGCCAGGAGTGCGGCAAACGCTTCATGCGCTCCGACCATCTCAGCAAGCACATCAAGACGCACGAGAACAAGCGCAGTAAACTGCGGCAGATGGACGACGACGCCTGCGACACGGAGGAGGACATCGACGTCGAAAACGACATCATCGACGACGACGTCGATGAAGAGATTTAGAGCGGACGTCGTCGCCGTCGCTCTGGCAATTTTCGCCCTCTCTCTAACCGTTGTTGTGATCCGTGTGAGTGTAGTCCAGATAAATGCAGTTTGCAAATATTTCGTGTGCAATATTAATTCCAGTATTTGAAGTGTGAGACGACGTACGGACGGAATGCGCGCCAGTTTCAGTTGTATTCGGGTTTCGCGTTGAATGTGTTTGTCGCGTGTTTGAGGTGCAGTAATAATTATTTGAGTGAGATAAATGCAATCGGGATTGAGACAATGGTATACTATTTATGAGCTGCTAAATCAAACCGGCGTGTCGTTTCGATTTGGTCCAATAGCAAATGATGTTGTGCATCGGCATACGGTTATAGTTAACGTTTAACATTAAAATTATATTATTGCAGCTGTAAATAAGCGCCTAAAATATTGTAAAGTATATAAGAATTGTATGATACCCAATGTAAATATTGTCGTTATTTTCTTACGGAAAATATACAATCGTGCTATGAAAACATACATTTTGCTTTCACTCGCTAAATTTTCCTTCTGTTGTGTTCGTATACTCTTCCGATATTTAAACGCAAAAACAGACGCATTTTCCGTATAACGCTTCGAAATTATAATAAGTCCTTCTGGCTGTCACACCGCACAAAAATTTTAAATTGCATCCTAAGACATAAATTTACCATGTACATGAAAGTAAAATACGAAACGACGCACCTTAATAAAAGCACGTCACTTTAATTGATCTTAGAAAAATATTTACGCGTATATGTATGCACGTGGTGAAAACGTAGAGAAATCCAGCGACAGCAGTACCGCTGCGAAATACCAATCATGACACAGGAAGACGCTGAGATAGGCTTGGGGCTTAACTTTTGTATGAAAGAAAACCGCGGCGCGTAACAGATACTACAACCCATAACGTACACCATCTAATACTCATACACACGAATGTATAATTTATATATACACACGCGCACACATAAATAAATAAAATAATATATATATATATATATATATATATATATATATATTGATGCACGTGTATTCAAAACTGCTATTGCAAACATATATGCTTCTCTTCAATATTATTATATTTATATATAAACCATTATATATATATATATATATATATTATTTATTTATTTATTTATTTATTTATATCGTCACCTCTGTGAGAACTGGTGGTTGACTTTTATTTTGTGGTCCGATTTGTTGGGGTTAATTAATAAATATAACAAAAAATTAGAGCGTATATGAGTGACATCGTGCTGATATTAAGAGAACACGTAGCACATTTATCTAACAAGGATCACATATTTATCCTAAATTATAAAAAATAAAATAATAAAATAGCCTAAAACAATGAAGGAATACCCATATCTATCATTCACATCCGGTTTTTCACGTCAACCTAAAAATTCGTGTATGACCCTCATCTTATACCAAACCACTTTTACAGCGCGGCTGCATATATTAATTACCTCACACATACTGTGACGTCATACGCACCATTCGTTTTTGAGAGAGTTTTCCTACGTATAGACCGCAGCTACATAACACAGGTTCCCTTTTCTCTGATTCCTATCCATGAATCTACCCGCCACCACACATCACAGACACATATGCCACCATCCGCCACGTGTATTCATCGCACACACGCACACACACACACACACGCGCGCGCGCGCGCACATGCACACGCACACGCACACATACACACACACACACACACACACACCGCGCGGTGTCCGACGAGCGCATGGGGTTACGAATCGAAGCTACTGCGCACCGCCCGGACCCCGCATTTATTGGAAGCATTTCGGACAGCGAGTTTTTTTTTCACAGACCGCATATCCCGAGGCGGCGTAACCGCGCGGCTACCAGCGGCCGTAAAGCGGGCGTTGCCTGTCCCACCGTAGCCGCGGCGGTGGTGGCGGCGGCGGTGCCTGCCTCTCCCGCTCCCGCTCTGCACAGCTCGCGCCCGACAACGCACAGCTGACACCGCCGCCGCCGCCGCCGCCGCCGCCGCCTCGGTGCGCTGTGTGTGTGAACCTACGCCGACACACATGCACCGCCGTTTGTTACGCCGCCGCATGTTTAGCTTCTGGGTACCGTGTAATAACAGGCGGGCGGGATATGAATACGCCATCAAAGAAGCGAGTAGACTGGCCCCCCAGCCGCTGATGCACCGCCACCGATATCTGCTGCGGCGGAGGAGCGAACTATTAATTTAGCATTATAATGCGAGCTGCTTGGGTGGCTAGCGAGAAAGAGAGAGAGAGGGGAGGGGAAGGATCAAGGGAGGGAGGGAGAGATGACTAAAGGACATAGGACGTGATTATATGAATTATACTCTAGTGCAGTGCTTCGGTCTCCTGTTGAGACGAGTGATCTATTTTCGGCCGCCTCCTGCAGAGAGTGACGAGTATATATTTATAAATCTCGCTCATTTATATATGTGCGTGAATGTAAACTCACACGCTTGCAACATGTTAGATTTTATCACACATTTAGAAGACAAATTGTACAACGGATTAATTATCATAACCATCAATGAAAAATAAATATTTATTTAGATATGTTCTGTCGCGGTTGATGTGGGTATGTTGCATCTGTCTTTGTATAAAATGCAACGTAATGCACAGTGAACAGTCGCCATTTATTTAAGACAATCGCACCAGTCAGGTTGCCTAGTGGTAAAATATTCATGGGAAAGGCAAATCACACATATTATTACTTAATCTACTCGTCATAATTTCAAAATATTTAAATTAATTATTCTATTTTTGTG